TTTTTATCACCATTGTCACTCATCACCAAGAAACTAAATTAAAAAAAACAAATCCACTGACAAAACACCCAGAACAACATAAAAATTCGTGTTCGCGGTAAGCATTTTGCAAAATCAAAATATTTTTTTGTCCTTTCTTTTTTTATACAATGTTGTTGCTAAAATTCACAGGCAAAGTCAAGTTACATTGACGGACATACACATTCAGAATTCGAAAACAAAAGCACGTTCAAACCGTTCATATCAAAAGCACATTCACAAGCACATCACTTCGGAGTCAAAACACTTTCACACCGTTGATATCACAATTTTAAGATTAATGCAGATAATTACCTTTCGCAGATGGCGGACTTCGGAATCGGTGGAAAAATTTGAAATCGGACGACTTCAGAGGGATAAGTGACGCGTACGATTTCAAGGAGTGGCTAGGGTTTCTCTCTCTCTCTCTCTCTCTCTCTCTTCGTCGATGTACAGAAAAATGAGACGGGTTACGAAAATTCTTATTTATTATGGTCCTATAGTAATTGCAGTGAAAACAAGGGCTAAAAGGGTCCGAAAAAAAAATTATGGAGGTAGGTTTGGTATTACACAAACCAAGATAGTGGTTATCCTACCAAAAAGGTGGGATTGAGTTGTCCAATTAAAGCAGGATAAAGGACATTTAATACCGAGCCGACAAGATTAAAGCGGGCTGCTATCCTCTGAAGCAAATGCGGGATTAATGTGGGATAAGGCAGGATATCCCACCTTATCCTGCAAAGCAAACGCGCACTGAAGAAATGATCCCCTCAAATGAATATAAGCCATTAGATTTGTTAGTTTTCATATGGACCTTTAGATTGTGGTTAAATAAAAGTGTTGTACCAAGTTGACATTTAGCATTTCTAATCCATAGTATCAAAAGAGACTAGCACTGTCAAAACGGGCCATGGCCCGCGGTCTGGCCCGCCCGCCCGCCTAAACGGACGGGCTTGGGCCTTTGCTTGGCCAGCCCGTTCAATCGCGGGCCTATTTGGCCTACGGGCTGGTGCGGGCCAGACCGCGGGCCAGCCCGTTTTTTTTTTTTTTTTTTTTATGACAAGTATTGTATATTTGTATTCTTTTTTTTGCCCTGAATTTAATTGTATAATATAAATATGAAATAAAATGTAATTTTTTTTATGACAAGTATTGTATTATTTTTTTTTCTTGAATTTAATTGTATAATATAAATATGAAATAAAAATGTAAAGACGTGAAGAATTTGAGCAAGGTAGAGATTTGATGGAGCTGACAAAACATTGGTCGTCCACTTTTAAATGTCTCAATCCAATCACTTTCCTTAATATAACGAAATAGCAACAACAATTATTAAAAATAGTCAATTATTAAAGGATGAAAGTTTTTAATTTCATTTTGCATTTTACCACAATTCAATCACAATATATGGTCACCATCGAGATCA